ATATGCAGGTGCATTTCGGTCATGATCTGCTTTGAATGTATATGTCACTCAAATATGAACGGAACGGGGACGTGTCATTGACAATGACTTGTTGTTTTGATACTTGGTATGTATGCAACTTGTGTGAAGTTCTACAGTTTAGTTCATATTTATGGATGTCTGTGATTTATGTGTGTTATTAGATTTCAATGATGCTTTGTAATAATGCGCAGACCTGATATGGTTTCAGTCAAAATTTATGCATAATACTTTATTTTTTGGGGGCAAAAACATGAGCAACACAATTGGACTACTTTGATTGTTGTAAAATTTGGTGTTAAAATGAGTGTCAAAGATTTAAAGTTCATTTGAAGTTTTGCAACTCTTATGTGAACGGTAGAGAATATGTGCAAATTGTGGGATAAATTCAATTTTCAACACATGATCATTTCCACTTCCCATTTATTGACTCGTGTGTGATGGATATCTTTGCAGTTACTGTGTCTGTGTGGGTGTGTGTATGGTCTGTTTCCCCGATATGTGAAGAACAAATCACTTGATACATATAGAGGCTCTGGGAAAACCCAGAGATTAGTTTTGAGGTAATGCATATTAATCACCTAATATCAACTAACTTTTTGCTTTTCCATTGATCTCTCATTAACTAATCGCATTTCAAGGAAATTTGTCTCAGATGCCCAGGGACAATGCAAAAATGTCATTAGTTTTTAGGCACAAAATTAATATTGATATAGAATATATCAATATTAAAGAACTATATCAAATTACCAATCATTGCATTTCATTGTAATTTATTACATACATGTAGGTGTCTGGGGACAATGCAAAGACCTGCTAATACTTTATTTGGAATCTGTGCATGTTAGTTATCTAATTTGCATAAATTAGTATATTTTTACCTTTTTGACATATCTAAATAATCACTAATCAGACTTGATACATTGTATGTTCTGTGGTAATTACTTGATTAGTTTGGGTTGAAAATAGAGAAGGGGTATTTTTAAAGACAGATTCAGTAATTTTCCCAATGCTAACGCATGTTCACAAGCTTAACAGCCTTCACGTTCATTTCAAACCCACCATGAATTTTATTGAGCAACCTTTAAGTTACTGTATTGAGCAAAAACTCACACAAGTTGCACATCACCAGTCTCTGTCATCATGAAAGTGATGTCTCCCAACCGCCTGGTGATACTTGTAGCCAAAATAATGTATCAATACTGTAAAGGCAGTATTTAATTTTATTGAGTTTTGTCTAAACAAACATGTTGCGTACATTATGTGATTTATCTGACTTGCTTTATGAAACGTTCTAACCAACAAATTTACATGCCTGCGTTTATGCCTGTATGCAAATTAGTGAGATTCAGTTTTTACTTCACAAATATGTGATCAGATTTTGGTATGAGATTATTTTGACAGTTTCATTGAAATATGCCTTGCCTAGTGTCTAGTGATTTCATCTACAAAATATTTCACCAAAATTAGAGAATTAAAGATATCGCCATTGAAGGCCAAGGGTTACATATACAAGTATCAAAGAATAAGAATTGTAGTTTTCAAGAAGTCGAAAAAGTAAAAAGTTGACGCAACGGACAATCACTCGTATGATAAGATCTGCTCGACAAAGTCGATGGCAGAGCTTAGGAAGGCTAAATCTACCACTGGTAGACTGCAGGAGGCGCATGCACCTCTAAATCCGTGGTTACACATACATCTCCCCCCCCCCCAATACAGTGCAGCAGTGACATTCTGAAGGCATGCCCCTCTTTAACAGAACATCCTGCATCTGTCTGTTACCTTAGCAACAAGTTAAAAGTACACACAGACACAACTCAAGGGACTTTGATTGAAATTGAAATTTTAATGTAAAAAGTAAAATATAAAGTAAACTTAGTAACAAACTCATTTTGTTAAAATGATATTAGATTTGAAAACCATAAAATGTTTCTCTTTGATCGATACTGGAGTATAATGGGACACAAATGGTCTGAACCATTATTTATGCAAGGTATAATCAATTTAGCAAATAAGATAAAATGTATGTGCAGTACACAAGCCTATCATTTTTTTTTAAAACAATAATCTGCCAACATTTCTGAGCCACCCCCCTTACAATATTACACGTGGGGTACAGTGGCACAGTTTATAAATCCCAAACACTTGTCATTACGCAATTACAGATATTCTTACTAATACACAAAAGAACATTCAACTCACAAGAAATGATTTTCTTGTTCAACACATTTTCTAGAATGTTGCAACTGTATTTTCTATGGAAGCCCAAAGGCATGACAATAGTTACTATGGAAACCCAAAGTCATTACAGTACTTACTATGGAAACCCAAAGGCATGACAATAGTTACTATAGAAACCCAAAGGCATGACAATAGTTGCTACAAATCTGCATGTCTTTGTGTTGTAAATAATGTAATAATAATTCAATAACATAAGCTGCAATCTTCCAATTTAATTTTTGGTTAAGGATAAAAAATGTACAAAATGTAGATTTGATTATTAATGTAACTTGGAATGCATTGCTGAGGCTTATAGATGTAAAACAGTTTATTTTAAAGTAAAGTATTAGGGGAATGTTATATCAAAACTTGGAATCAGTAACTGCAATGTACCCATGCAGTATAGTAAGAAAGTTGTAACAACCAACAAAGTGCTATCCCAGTTTCATGAGTAAATTTACATGATTGAGTAATGAGTCAATCATGCCTGCTTAATACACATATTTAAAGTGTTGCTGAACATTAACCTGGTCCAGTCTTGCGACCTGGCTTTTGCATAAATGTGATGTCTTGTGACATGGCTGACACATAAAGGCCCAGTCTTGCAACCTGGCTTTTGCATAAAGGCCCAGTCTTGCAACCTGGCTTTTGCATAAAGGCCCGGGAACTACATGGTTGTGAGTTTGAATCTTGGCTATGCCATGGTACAATGGTTATCACTGGACTGGACTGGGAATCACAGGGTTGTCCTGGAGTCCTGGCTAATCCTTGATGTTGTAGTATCCTTGGAGAAGGATACTTTACTCCTAATGCTTCTATCCACCCAGGAATAAATGAGACCCTGGTATGGAATGTGACAGGCAGAGTTGCATATTCCATGGGGAGTTGAGATGTCCACTAAATATGAATCAGTACATGTATAGGACCAATTGGCCAGGATAATGTGCAGCACCCACTTCAGGTTGACTACATCAAGAATTTCGGTACTATGTTAGTGTTTCTTATTATTATTAAAAGTTTGACATTTTAAACATCCACAAAGCCAATTATGCACCAACACAATACAGCACCCACATATTTGATTTACATGCATTAAATATAAACAATATTTCTGAATATAGTCCCTGGATGTGAGGATATAGAAAAAAATAAGAAAAACTTCTACAATCCCAGATCAGAAACATTTCAGGACTAATGACTCTTGTCAATTGATAAGACAGGAAGACAA